TCGTTCCAGCCCAAACACCCTATGTGATACATACAGGGAAAAGTGGGCAGTACATTTGCCAAACTTAAAAGCATCTTAATGGCCTGTCAGCCTTCACTGAAAATACCCATGTTGCAAGAGATAACAGAGTTAGTAGAGAGAATGAGCTATCAAGGATGAAATGATAAATGAGCTGTATAAATTATTTGATATGAATACTTGTATCAATGTCTAAAGGTAATTATTTGAATTCAATATTTCTATCAGATTTTATTTTACAAAGTAACATTTTCCTTAACAAATCAGATGATAATCAAAATATAGAACATTCATAAATCTCTCAGTCTTTCAAGGTACAACTCTCAGTTTTAATTTTTTTAAAATACTATCAGACAAAAGGAAAGAGAACAAATATAAATTCATAGACTTTCAAAAGAAAAAGGATTACTGGTAAAATAGACATCAGATAACTGTCAGTGAACAAGACGGTAGTCAAGCTAGCTGTCTATCCATTTAGGAACACATTTATTTACACATAGTTAAGATACAGATAATCCATACTAGCATATCATAGAACGTGTCCCCTGGAATGTTACTTTACCAAAGGAAAAAACAAAAGAAAAAGACTGTCAAATAAATTTAACACTTTATCAAATAAATTTGAATGATACTACATACAACACATACTCACAATGTGCATCAGAGTATTAAAGACTTTGAAAAGTTATTCTTTAAATAAGCCAACTAATCATAACCTATCATGGTCAAATTTATTAGACTTGGGAACTCCTTTGACTATGTCCTTTATCCTGTGGAATAATTATTCCAAAGAACACATTTGGAAAATGATTATCTGTACATTCTGATGATACCAATCAGGGTTTTCTATCCCTAGGAATAAAAATAAAAGTTTTTTTCATCACTGTTGCTATGCTATGAAGTAATGGTAATGAACATTTTGCTGCTGTATACTGGAGCAGAAAGTCAGTAAGATTTAATATCTGAGTATAAACTCCTGAGGTCCTTTTTAAAATGGAGAACTACAAATTTCCCATTTATATTTTAGCTGGTCCAACAACAAAAAGATTACATTATCACAAAAATAAATTGTTTATGCATTTCCATCTAAAATGTGTGCACAGCTCCAATTTAAAATATTTCTCATAATAGATTCTATCCCAGATCAATCTAATAATTATGCATAAAATTATATGCATGTATGTGGGTCTTCCTTTATGAAGGTAAGAAAATTGTGCTTATATAGTTAAAGACTGCTTTTACTGACCCACATGGGAATATTATTATTTTTTTAAAGATTTATTTATTTATTTGAGAGAGAGAGAGCACGCGAACATGGTGGGGGGGTGGGGCAGAGGAAGACTCTCCAGCAGACTCCCTGCTGAGGGGCTCAATCCCATAGAGCCTGAGATCATGACCTGAGCTGAAACCAAGAGTCCGATGCTCAACTGACTGAGCCACCCAGGCCTCCCAAGAATATTATTCAGTAACATTTTTTTAAACATATTTACACAAACAAAAATAAAACCTATAACATATTGAAATTAAACCATGTCTGCTCCCAAATTTTTAGGCTCCAAGTTTAAAAATAACTAAGTCGAGAAAATGTTTCATACTAAATGGAGTTCAGGGAATATAGCTAGTCGGTTGAGAAGTTAAATTACTTTATTACAATACGGCTAGCAGAATAAAATCAACACACGTAAGTTGTACATGCAGGGGAAATACAGCCTAACGTAAAGGGATGGTTTTTAGCACATTCCTCGACTAGAATGTGGTCACCTGCCACAAAGTACACAAGCTCATGCACAAGATCAAGACTTGACATACAGCTGAGATCACAAGATCATGCAGATAACAACAGCGTGCTAGAGAATCGTACCACAAGCTGTGCGGAAGTTCTCCCCCACCCCATGAGCCATTGCCAGCAGCCGCTGTGGAGCTTGGTTACCCATATCCGTGACATGAACGGTGTCCTTTGGAGAATCTTGTTCCCTGTGGCTGTAAGTATTCTCATTTTTATAATATTTTAATGATGCTTGCTATCAAAATGATAAGTACAGAACTAGAAATTATGGAAAAGTAGACTTTTTATAATACTGAACAATTATACACATCTGACCTCAGGTAGTTACAATAAATGACACTTACATTTACACATATCATCAAAACTAATTTACTTCTCAGGCTTAAATGGACCCAAAATAACACATCTGATGATAGTGCTTCAATGGGGTGGGGTGGAAATATCAACCTCCAAAAAGTACTTCCTGATTTCTAGTGCTCAAAAATCTTGGCAAGAGTCATTCTAAGACCTGGCTAAAGTATGACTCATACACATAAGTTCTATATAAAAACATCTATTAGGATAACTCTTTCAATTACATGATTTAATTCTGAAGGCTTGACTTGGATAAACAACCAAGTTGCTATTACTTATATTAGTCAATGAAATAAAATATAGAATATAGTTGTTAAAATACTTTCCCTCATTTCTCTGCATCTACAAGTATTTATTTCAATGTCCTTCTTTGCGTATTTATAACCTAGGTGCATTCTGGTAAAGACAGCATTCTATTTTGCTATCAGATCACACTTGCTAAGCTACTGATGTTCATAAAAGCATAGAATGAGAATTCTGGAACCACAAGTCACTCTGAAAGGTTCAGTTCTATGCCTCTTGACAGCACTGTGTGCCCCTTTCAGAATAGTGAATTCAACACTTCTGGAATGCTCTGGGGTATCTTTAAGTTCGGCAAGGGAGTGAGTAAGAAGAAAATACAGCCAACTCTCAGTAACAATGGAAGGTAGGATGGATAAGTAAAATCTGAAAACCTAAAAATCTTATTTTAATTAATAACTTCAATCCCCTCTCTTAGAAAAGATTCAAGTTAAAAATTTTTTTTAAAGTTTTGTTAGATAAGAAGAGGTCTTTTAATTTTATCTTTTTTCTCTGCCCACCCCTCCAAACACAGTAGAGGAGGTGTAACAAGAACTCTATAGTCTGATATGTGTAGCAAAGATGGAAACATATTTTGACATCTAGCTTTTCCAATTTAGATATTTAAAACTATCCATATCATATTCTAGTATAAGAGGGCCTATCTGTGGTTTCATCTTTGCATAAAAATGATGGCTTTATAATTTGTTTTAAAAACTGGTACTCTTTTAGCAAGGAATGACTACTTACCATAATCAATATCAGCAGTTACATCCAACTTTTCTGACTTGGTAAATCTACAACTCAGTACTTACCAAGTTATACTTTCCTTAGAATGTAACATTTGTTAGTGATATGAATTAAAGATGACAGTTTTGCTCATTATCAGTATAATTCATGACAGGAACCAGAATGCCTTGATAAATTGGGCATAATAAGACTAGGGCTTGTAATAGCTGCCTTTCCTTATGTATCTAAAGTAATATACTGTACTAGGTTCTCCAGTAATCATCATTAGACTAATGCAATTTATGTACCTTATTATAAAGTTATTACAAAGTTTGTCATATGAACTGTTTTAATTAGCTACAAGCAATGTCAAATTCTAATAAACAGAATAATGAAGGCTTTGAAACCAGGCCATTCTTCAAACATGTAAGTGTAGAAGAATCTCTTGTACAGAGTAGCTATGCTGTAGTGCAAGATCAAAAAGTGACACGCTTACTGTTACTATATATTTAGAAGGAAAAGAACTTGGATTTGACCAAAAATAAATTAAAAACAAGTGTATTTTATAATAAAATGCATCAGAAAAAACTTAAATCAAGGCATAAGTTACAAAACCTAAATTTGACAGCTTATCTATTCATTTGCCTTCTAAATTAAGTATCAGTCCTCTATTCAATCTGAACGTCAAAACTCTTATTAAACAGTAGTGAGAGAACAAATTTCTTCGTTTAAATATTTATACCAGGCTTTATAATATATATATTTTGTTATATTTGTGGGGCTAAGGCTTAACTGATAATGGATGGTATATCAGTAAAGCTTTGCAATGGTGTTATATTTCTTAATTGTATACAAGGAAAAGTTAAGAAATCATATGTAATAAGTAAAAATCAATTTAATTTTTAAAATGTCATTTGTATTACATGCATATTTTTAAAATCAGTATTTGTTTAATATTCAAATATTTTACATGGGGGAAACAGGTTTTTAATTATAACATAGCAAAAGTTAAGATATTTTAAAAAAATATTTGACTGCATAATTTAAATAGTCCTTAATACCTCTACAACAAATGAAAAAAAGTTGATTTTTGAAAATTAAATTAAAATAACTGCCAGTTAAATTTTTCCACAGAAAAGAATTCACCTAGAAGTAGTAGTTCTAAGTGCTGTATTAGGTTTCTAAGAATAAGCCTAGCAGACATTTAAACATTTCTGAGGAAAAAAAAAACAAAAACATTTCTGAGAATCTGTACCTTTCTAGGATATATACAAAAATGAGAATAGGGAAAATAAAATAGTGAAAGAATGGTCTTCATATTTTGATTTTTTGATAAAATTATTCAGTTTTATGACAATCTATAAGCAGTTTCTAGGGCAACATGGACTGTTAAAGGCATTACGAAGACAACATTTTGATGTATCACAAATGAACAATGTCCTTTGTGATCGTCTCTGATAAAAGTAGCATCGTTACTAAATAGAAAAATAAAACAGGAAGAAAATGCTGCAGATAAAATTTGATGACCATATTCTGTGCTCTCCACAAACAATGTAGTCATATTTTAATCAGGTCCAGTAGAGGACTGCATATATGTCATGGAAGCTGCCACACAACATGAGCAGGTGGAAAGATTTAAAATGTGAGCTGGTAAGGTAAAAAGAAATGACTGTTATATAGCATTAACTTTACTTAGCGGGCTTCTCAGTGATTTCTTCATTGAAAAGGAATATTCAATGACTTGTTACTTTACTTGCAAGTTTATTATATCGGAAAACTGCAGTAAGATAGTAACAAAGTTCAACTATTTCAAATATTCACATTCTTCACTTACCTCCTCTGGGTTAGCATTAAAGGTGAGGCTGCCTTCATCCAGCTGCATATACAATTTTCTGAAAGAAAATCCTAGAGGTGGGTTCTTATTATATATGGAACAGTGACCCCAAGTGGATTTACATAACCTATAAAAGATAAAATCAGACAAGAAAACATTACTATATTTAATTTCCTAAGTTAAACATGTATACACATGATAAAATAGTAACATGAAATTTATAGCTCAAAAGTTGAAAATGTTTAATTCCGTACTTGTTTTTTATTTGTTTACTAGAGTATGATCAACAAATGCTTTCAATTTAGCAACTCTGATAGTACTTAATAAACACAAGTTGAAGATTAATAATATTCATGAGTACTATTTGAAGTTAAATAGAAAATATTACTAATAATAAATAGAAAATATTACTATATAACTAATAATACTAATAATAATTAACTAATATTACTAATAAGTTAAATAGAAAATATTACTAATAATATTACTACTAATAATAGCAATGATAGCTATTAATGTATAACATTTACCCAGTGCTTACTAGATGTTAGGCACTATTTAAAACATTATACTAGTATTAACTTGCTTTTAATCTTTACAACAATGCTATGATGTTGGTGCTGAAGATAAAGAGACACAGACACAGTAAAAGATAAAAGAGTTGACCTGAACCCAAGGAGTCTTACCCCAGAACTAGAAATCTTAACCAAGAAGCTAAACAGGATTAAGTAACTATGATCCGTTGCAAAGTAAAGTTGAATGGGGGCAAAGATCGCTAGGTAGGGGGAGAACTTTGTTTTGTTTTTTTTTAACAATATACATATTGATAACAGGCAAAATAAACATAGAAATTATGCTATTAACTTCAGGACATACATCAAAAGCTGTGTATGACATTAAGAGTAGCTGTTTTAAGATGCTGCTTCAAAACACTGTTTTGTTTTTTTTTACCATCACAGTGATACATGATTGTTTAAAAATCCTGTGAAACCTAAAATGTTAATAGTTCATATAAAACATACTGAAATCAGAGGGGGAGACGAACCATGAGAGACTATGGACTGAAATCGGAGGGGGAGACGAACCATGAGAGACT